ATGTGTAGAGTGCAGTTTGTCCTATGCAACTTCACAAGACATACAAAAAATGAAGCATGTCAAAAGCCAATCAAAAATTACCTACATAACAATGTTTGTTCTGAAGTATTAATTTTATTTATTCTTGCATCACTATCACTGTGATTGTCTGAAAAGCATATACTGCCCACATGCACACCCAAGCCCCTACCATCAGGAAGAAACCTCGCTCAGTCCTTTGGCCTTGCTTTGGGAGCAAAAAGGAAGGCCGTTTCACCTCTTTTTGAGTACTTGCTCCCTTCAGAAGCTTGTTTTCATGGCTTATCCCTGATTCAGGCAGGAGGGGCACTGGGAAGGATCTGAAAACACACATACAAACACACCCCTCTTTATTAGTAATCACTTTTTCAACCTCCCAACACCTTTCATTGTTTCTGTGCTTTCTCTTCATCTCCCCCACCCCCTGTTGACTAGAATCCTGAGGACTGGTCTGTAGAAAACACTAAAGGTGTGAACATCAGAGCACAAACCAAAGAAGATTGAATGCACAACCATAAGCAAGGGAGGCTGGTCCATTCAAGGAAGCGGACCCTGCCCCACCAAACCCAGTCTTCTCTCAGCCAGCCCCACCTGTCTACCTCCCTCCCTACAGCCAGACTAGAGCAGGGGTCAGCAACCTTTTTCAGCCGTGGGCCAGTCCACCGTCCCTCAGACCATGTGGTGGGCCGGACTATATTTGGCGGGAGGGGGGATGAGCGAAATCCTTTGCCCCACAAATAACCCAGAGATGCATTTTAAGGGAGCTGGGCATGTTTAGCCTGGAGAAGAGGAGGTTAAGGGGTGATATGATAGCCATGTTCAAATATATAAAAGGATGTCATATAGAGGAGGGAGAAAGGTTGTTTTCTGCTGCTCCAGAGAAGCGGACACGGAGCAATGGATCCAAACTACAAGAAAGAAGATTCCACCTAAACATTAGGAAGAACTTCCTGACAGTAAGAGCTGTTCGACAGTGGAATTTGCTGCCAAGGAGTGTGGTGGAGCCTCCTTCTTTGGAGGTCTTTAAGCAGAGGCTTGACAACCATATGTCAGGAGCGCTCTGATGGTGTTTCCTGCTTGGCAGGGGGTTGGACTCGATGGCTCTTGTGGTCTATTCCAACTCTATGATTCTATGAAATAAAAGGACACATTCTACATGTAAAAACACGTTGATTCCCGGACAATCCATGGGCCAGATTCAGAAGGACTAGAGGGTGGCACAGGCTATCGGCTTCTTCCTCAGTCTCAAGTGTTGCCTTTCTAAAATGCAGCAGGAAGGAGGAAGATGAAGCTAACATTAGCTGGCTCTGCCCATAATTGTCTCTGGCCTCCTTACCTTTTACCCTACCCAGTGGGCACCAGTCACCACTTACCTCCATGAACTACCTTTGAAACTGTAACACTTGGAGCCAGTGTGGTGTAGTGGTTAAGAGCGTTAGATTCGTAATCTGGTGAACCGGGTTCGCTTCCTGGTCCTCCACATGCAGCTGCTGGGTGACCTTGAGCTAGTCACACTTCTCTGAAGTCTCTCAGCCTCACTCACCTCACAGAGTATTTGTTGTGGGGGAGGAAGGGAAAGGAGAATGTTAGCCTCTTTGAGACTCCTTTGGGTAGTGATAAAGCAGGATATCAAATCCAAACTCTTCTTCTTCTTGGACCACACAGGTAGGCATTGGGGAAGGAAGAGGCAGCGGTCAGCTGCTGCTTTTTGTTAGTACCCTAGTTATATTGTTTTGTGGTGTGTTATAATTTATTTTGGCCGCAGTCCGAAACACACTTACAGTATTGGATAATAAAGCCCACTGAATACTGTGAGACGTACCTCTGCAACAACATGTATAGGATTATGCTGTCCGAGAAAGCCATTCAAACCGCTGTAGACTCTATGGCTTTCTTTACCATCACGCCAGCTTCTCCCCCACTCCTTCTCCTGTTTTTATAGAATCTCAGAATTGGAAGGGACCCCCAAGAGTCATTTTCTCCAACAATATAGGAATTGCAGCTAAAGCACCCAGGACAAACGGCCATCCATCTTTCAAAGTCTGCTTAACCTCCAGCATGCTAAGCAGCTCTGAAGAACTCAAAAGCCTGCTCGCTTATTTTACGACACTGCTTGGCATTACTGTAGATTTTGGAACATACAAACTAACGTGGCTGCCTGTGCTTTTTCTCGACAACCAATCAAGAGTTTTATTGAGAGTAAGGGATTAATGATAAAGAGCTTGAGTGTGTGTACCTAACAAATCAGCTGGCTTTTGCATGCTGCGCCTGTTGAATGCTGACAGTGCAGAATCTTATTTAACCTTATAAGCTGGAGAAGAGATTCTGGAGGCAATAGTGCTCAATTTGTGATGCAATTGATCATTACAAATTATGGACAAATTTGTAGCTAGGTAATGACAACCTCCGCAAATCTGTACGAAAGGTATAGGAACTTCGCTCCTGTGAACCTGGAAAATGAAAACAAGCAGTGGTATTGGTTACTGTTTTGTTCTTGTGGTGTAAAATTGGGGTGGCAGCACTTAGAACAGTAAAATAAATAATTGGATATGCTTAAAATAGCTCTCTAGATGCAGGTATTTAAAAGAATACACAAAATAATTAAGAGATTCCTTTATATGCTGTCTTAGGGGAATAGGGCAAGCCCTATGTTCCCTTTATTTATTAAATTTATATCCTGCCCTTCCTCACAAAGCAGCCCAGGGCAGCAAACACACGTGTGATAGAGCAATACATTTAAAAAGCGAACAAACCTACTTAAAATGTTTTAAAACAATCAAAAAGCATATAAAAGCAAACACAATAAAACTTTAATTTAAAAATAGATTTAGCCAGAGTGGCTTTGAAAGGGGCTTTTTACCATTTTCCCTAGACTTAAGGAGGCTTGCTATCACACAGTCTGAGTACGCTTTGTCTGAAAGCACTATATTGTTGGCTTTTCACAATCCGGAGGCATTTATATGTGACAATTAACTCAAATGAACTAATTTTAAACATACAGTAGATGGGTGAAAATGTGCTAATTTTACTGCTATTCCTTGAGTGTTTAATTAAGGCTGCAACTCTAGAGTCATATTTCAAGGAGTAATTCTCACTGTACACGGTGCCTTACTTCTGAGTAAACATGCACAGGATTGTGCTGCGAGTTAGCATATGACACTAAGGTGCCAATTTATTCTAGCTTTTGCTACAGTTAGAATTGCATACCAATTCTAATTTATTTTTAAATTAGGGTTGTTGTTTTTTTTCAAAAATGTTTAATAGCTACTTATAAAAAGTACTTACACAGAAGGAAATGTATTTTTGAAGATGGCATGTCTTGCAACATAGGAATGCATCAAAATAAAAACGAAGTTTTGCTTCACAACCATTGTTCTGAAATAATTTATCAAATACCTTTTAGGACTGACATCTGAATAGTCAACTACAACCCACAGAGGGGTTTTTTCCAATCAATTAAAGTTGCATTATTTGCCAAATGAATAATAAAAAAATCACATGATTAACTGAAAACTTCCTTTTCCATGTACATAAAAACTTCTATGAGAAGTCAAAAAAGGGTTTCTTCAGTTAATTTGCAATCCTAGACATAAACTTGCTTGTCTATACAAATTCCCTTCATGCCATGACAAGTTGCCATGAAAATCTGTCAAAATCCAGTGTCCTGCCCTTTAACTAGTATAAACATTTGCAGTAGATAGCATGTATGAAAGATTTTTTTTTTAAGGCAGTGGTTTAGATTTACTTTTGTCCCTTTAATGGGATCAAACGTATCAAGAACAGAGACATTTAATGGTAGGTATATATGGAGTTAGAAATTAGAATTGACAATGAAAGTTTGGGATCAAGATAAGTATAACATAGATAGAGCAATAAATCCCAATAACATATGTGAAAGATAGTAATCAAACCAGTTTTGTGGACTGCTCTGCAAAGCAAATACAGAACAACTACTAGAGCTAATCTCTAATGTAATTTATACTGTAGGACCAGTGTACCAGACATTTAGCAATAACCAGGATAGTGTGTGTGTATGCTAGATGTTTAGGTCATGATCAAAGTTATACGTACACACCCTAATCCTAAAAGCATCCACTGGTCCACTAATTTCAAGGGAAAGCAAATTTCTGCTTCAGCTGGCACCATAATCCTCTTGTACCTTAGGGGAAGGCAGGCTAAATAAATTGCATCTGAGTTGTATGGGACAAATATTTCATCATTTGAGACGTAATTTTTAAGTGTTATTCTATTACTTCTATAAATCTTTGTCTGATAGTTCTATATTATATACTTTCTCTTTAAAGTATAGCTCTTTCAAGCCTGTATGAGATTTTAAAAAGAGCTGTATTATGGTCGAAAAGTATCGGGGTGATAAAACAACTGAAGTGTACAATAGGTTTAGTCTTTTCATATTCCTTGCTCTATGCTTGCAGTTTAGGGACATGTGCCTTACGAAAAAAGCTGGAAATGGTCTGCAGGTGAAGCTACTTTTCTGGTTTTATAACTAACATAATACACCATAGCTGATCTTGGGGTTTTCCTCCATCAATTGAGAGTCACAGTGTTAACAGTTTTTGCAACTTTCCTGTTGCTGCTTCTGTTTTTTTTTTGTTTGTTTGTTTGTTTATTGTTTCGTGGTGCTGGTTTTATTTTACTGTTTTTATGTTTTATGTGGACTGTAGAAAGGTGGCTAATTAATTGTCAAGTTGCCTGACTAATATGGAGTTGTGGTTTTTTTTATTTTAAAAAAAGAAAAGAATGGAGGCTTATTGGCAGCAACGCAGCTGGAGATGCAATTCTTCCATTACCCTTTAGATGACAAATTTCCTGAAAAGGGAAGTTTTTGATGCAGTCATACAGCTGGCTAATTTTGGTAGAGACAACACATCTGCATGATTTCAGCCAGACACATTGTTACTGCTGTCTGTCTTTCTGTCTGTCTGTCTGTCTGTCTGTCTGTCTATCTGTCTGTTGTGGCTTTACTCCGACAAACAATTTTACACAATCAGAAACCACACTGAGAACAATTGTATTTTTTCTTTAAATATACTGAGGTTTAGAACATGGCATCAGGTATGTTTACATATCAGCTACATTTATGTACTGTTCTGTCCCCAAATTATACCATAATGAGCACAGTATCCTGTCACTGTGTGTAACAAATGTGTACTTAGTACCGAAATAGTAATTCGCAGCCAAGGGACAAGCAGATCTCCAGTAATTAGCCAGCTTAAATATCACTGCTGAATCAAACATGTAGTAGTTCCTTGTGTACATTCCCATTATTTAAATAGAGAATGTATTAGAGTATGTTGTGCAGTTATTACATGGGCCAAAGTGTCTCCATGCATATTCTCCTTAAAAAATAAGTGGACCAATCAATCTCTGCCTCAGTTGGGCTTGCAGTCTACAAACAGATGTAATGAAAGCAGTAGAGGAAAGGAAGGTGAATGCAGGTAGAAGTAATGGGGGGGGGGTAAAGGAATTTAGGGATTATACTTCAGCATTACATATATGCAGCTATTTAAAATAAACTTGAATGATCAAGAAAAGATTGAATTCAGTACTTCAGGCTATTTTGATTTTTAAAATGTATGGATATCCCAAAAGAGTTCCCTGTTTGGGAAGCTTTTATTTTAGGTTGGCAAGTTCAAAACTGAACAGGGCAACAACAGTAGCGATCTGGTATGGATTGTTTAATTATACATAGACACAACTCCGCTGTAATATTCTGAAATGTTTTATGGCTTGCATTTCATCCAAGATTTAACGAAGGAAAATAGGTGTTTTTGTTTCAAGCTTGTGACGAAATGCTTCACTTTTTAACGGCAAGCGGAGCAGCCATTTCTACAGAATTTTAAAAACATTCATATTTTATTGCCACAAAAAGCCCATTCATTCTCTCTTGGGAGTGAGGAGGGAAGTTGCTGTCCTCCCAGTATTCACCTTCTTGAATAATTTGGCAGGGAAAGGGATGCTTCTTCACTGCAAGGGATGCCCTCCAGTGAAGTGTGATTTGTTACAGTGTGGAGATGGCAACTTCCAGTTTGTGCTACTTGGACTCTTGTTCAGACAGGTGCAGCTGAAGAGTATAGCAATGTGATCTGGAATGAAAGGGGACTCTTTCTCTAATACGTTTGGGGTGGGGTGGGGCGACAGCACTAGCTATCTCTAGGGCTCTGCCCCACATATCTGATAGCAGCAGCGCCTACCAAGCCACTAGCATCCTCGCTCCATTCTACAGGTGCTCAAGGGAGTGTTTTTCTGTCAACGCTTGCTGGATGCGGTTAAGGGAAAAGTAATACCTTGTGCCTTTTTCTAAAGGCAGAGCAAAGGAGAGATGCCAGGGTTCAAGGCTATCTGCAAACCTGATCTCTGACCTAAACACACGCCTGCCTCATACCAATCAAATGAAGACTGGCAGGGATGCCAACTTGAGTAAAATATGGGGGGGGCAGTTAAGCCCTGTTCTGAACACACCCCACATTTGAATGGCAATGCCCATCAACTTTGGGGGTACAACGCCCACAAATAATTTAAGGGGGTCGAAGGAACCCGGCCCCTAGGAGTTGGCTTCTATGAAGACCGGTGTTGAGCAGTCTTGCTGACAATGCAAGTGTTGTGTTTCAGCCTCCGGGCTTCTGAGCCAAAGGAAGCCGGGCTTGGGCGACCGGCTGTCTGCGCCCTAGCCAGATTCCCTACAACCGCGCACGCGCTGCGGTTCAAGTGGGTCTTGGTCAGCGCGGAAGGAAAAGCACTCTGCACGTGCTCAGGCGCGCTCCGTTTCTGCCTCAGGGCCGAAAGGAGGCTCTGGGGAGGAGGCCAGGTGAGCCCTGGTTGAAAGGACGTCGTGCGCGCGCAGCGACGGCGTGGCCCAGGCGACGGAGGAAGGCTCGCTTGGGGGCCGTCCCGTCGGCCTCAGTCAGACGCAGGCCGGGCGCGCCTGCTCTTTCCCTTTCTCTTTCGCCTGCAGGCGAGCGGGCCGGGGGTAGCGCCAGGTAAGAGAAACTGAAGAGGAGAGGCGCGGAGCGGGGAGCGCCTGCGGGGCGTCGGGTGCCTTAAAAGAGAGGGGGAGTCCGAGGGGCAGCCCTGAGACCGGGACCAAGCCTGTGAGACCATAAATTGCGGGGGGGGGGGGGAGTAAATAGCTTTACAAAAAAAACTAGGGAAGAAACAGACTGTCCTGCTAACCCCGTTTATGGAAGGGGCTTGACTGTTGGAAGGAAACTGAGCAGCCCCCTCCCTCAGCTTCTCAGGGGAGAGACAAGCCTACTGCCAGCTTCGAGGTTTCTCTTATACCTCTGAGTTTTTATCAGAAGCTCTTAGGCGCTCCCTACCTCCTGCTTTTCCTTACTAACTTCAACGAGCATGCAAATGTTGCAGGCATTTCTTCCTTCCTCTGGCCAGTTCAAACATCTTTTGTCTTTGCGATGTGGCTGCGGGATCATCTCTGTTGTCAGACTTCCATTTCCAGGGTTTTATTTTCGTTTTTGTGTGTGTGCTACAGGGCTCAAAGATGTCTAACTCTAAAAAGAAGCAGAGGTTAGGAATCGTGACCCCCTGAGGACCCTTGGATTTTGATCAAATGCCTGGAGAAGTCCAGCTGCGCAGGGCAGCTCACCGGCTCCTGTGATCCTGCCACCTTCGCCTTCCAGATTCACGGATCGGGTCCAAACCATTTTATTGCCGCAGCCTGTGCCACGAATGGCTACCCAGAGGAAGCACTTTGTGAAAGATTTCAATCCCCATATCACCTGTTGTATCTGTAAAGGATATCTTATCAAACCAACGACAGTAACTGAGTGCCTCCATACTTGTAAGTAGAATTATGTGAGGCATCTATCTTTGGAACAAAATGGTCTTTGCTCCAATTATTTATTTTATCTTATTTACTACATTTATGCCCTGCCTTTCCCCCAAGGAGCTCAAGGCAACCAGCATGGTTCTCCATTTTATCCTCACACAACAACTCTGCGAGGTAGACTGTGAGATAGTGACTGGGCCAAGGTGACTTAGTGTTTCATGGCTGAGTGGGGTTTTGAACCTGGATCTGACTGATCTTAGTCCCACACTCCAGCCACTACACAACATAATTTTAAAACCAAGACATAAAAAATTATGCATCATTATACTATTGCATAATATACACCATTATAGTATCTATAGCATACACTTCAATTATTCAAACAGTATCACTTACAGAATATATCACAGTTATTCCTTAATACCAGAAATTTCAAAGAGTTGAAGGAAGTTTAAATAGTTGAGCTATGCCTGTGACAAAAGTGTCACAGAATACCAGGGTACTGTGTTCTTTCTGGAAGTTGACATAGTTTGGATTCTATATTTTTTCTTAGATCTACCTGTGCCTTCAACTTAAAAGAAGCAAAAAAAAAAAAGTTGTTTTAAAGAACTTTGTTCAGTAGTTACATTTTGACAAGCCACGAAACTGCTGAAGTTTTTGCTAAAAACAAAAATGTCATGAAGTGGGACTGACAGGCCAATCCTGTACAAGGTTTAAATTCACTTGATGGGTAGTTTTAATAAAATGCTCCTAATGGTCCTACAAATTGATAGGTAGCACCCATAAACTTTTCATTCTTGCGTTTTTGAGACCACCACTCAGCAAGAATTAAGTAGTGTCCTGATTTACATTCTAGGTCACCTTCATGTGTAAGCATGTTTGCCACATGTATACCAGTGAAAGAGTGATGGATAAGTGTAATAAATATTAAAGGGGTTTGTGTATATATAAATGTACATGCACCACATTCATATGTCATGCTGAATCAGTGGTGGATAATCTGTAGTCCACATGTTGGATTCAGAGCCCCATCAGCCCTGCCCAGAACGGCTAGTGGTCAGGAAAGAGGAGATAATTAACATGTAGACTGACACAGGTTCCACATACCTAGTTTAGCATCACATGCAGAACTAACATGAGCAAGCCTCATGTTCTCCCATCCAGTTTGGGTGGGAGAATGACCAAAAACATTTATTTTCAGTTTCCCCTTGATCTCTGTCTATTATTGTGTGCAAACCAAGAATCATGATTATAGCTGACTGATCAGTTAAAAGGGGGGAAAGGCTTTGGAAGCTATGGTTTGAAGTGGGCTTGTTTGGAAATTCATCAGTTTGTTATAACTCACAATATTTGGTTTGCAGATTAAACTAAGATTAGAAGAAACTGAAAGTAAACATTAGCAAAGTTCTACTCCCAGGTACATGGGAGAAGTCCAGGGCTCATTTCAGCTTGTGAACATCACACTAAATCATGGTTTAGCATGATGTCCAAATTGGGCCATGGTGGACAGGTACCTGGAAGTTAAAGCCAATGGCAACTTCCCTGTACATGTCTACTGCAAGTATTTGGAGACTTATTTCTCCCCTATACACCTGGTGGTATCCACTGAAGGGACACAGAAGTTCAGATACTGTGGGAGGTTTTCCTTAATGTTGCTGTTGGCTGCCTTGATGGAAGAGAAAATGCTGAATTAAAATATTTAAATAAATAATGCAGGCACATGTGCAACATAAATCTGTCTCTTCCCCAAATCCAGAAGCTTTGCTTTGTGTTTTCCCTAAATTGGTATGATAAATCTTGATTGTTGCTTTAATTCAGTGTTGGGTAACCTGTGGCCCTCCAGATGTTGGGACTGTGGCCAATGGCCTGCGATGGTGGGAGCTGTAGTTCAACAACGTCTGGGGAGTCTCAGTTCCCTGTCCTGGCTTTAAATTTTTAAGTTATTTTGAAAAGAATCACTTCAGTTTACATTAAAAGAGAGCTCTGCAGCCTATCTGAATCTCCTTGCATGCTCTGTGCAAATGGAGCTCTTAGCTTCTCCTCTGATTTGAATTTTGAGAGCAGCTTGGCACATGCAAATCAGTTTAGAGAAGTCAGCAGATTTTACCAGGTGTGCTAGAAAGAAAATCCCAACACTATATGAAGAAGGCAGGAAGGAACTTGGGATGTACTTGTGATAGGTGTGGGCATGCTCTTTTAAATGATAGCATTCAGAAATCATTCATCCATCCAATTTACATTTTTTTTAATACCTATTTCTTACTTGATTTTGTAGTTTGTAAGAGTTGTATTGTGCAGCACTTCGAAGAAAGCAATGACTGTCCCAGATGTGGCAATCAAGTCCATGAGACCAATCCATTAGAAATGTTACGGTAAGAAGATATTAAATACAAATTATTTCAGTGGAGTGAGTTTGTCTTAAATTGCCTTTTGACGTGATTGGCTACCTGCAAAAATATAGAACGCTACCATACCGAGTCTGACCATTGGTCCATACAACTCATTATTGCATCTATGCTGAGTGGCAGTAATGCTCCAAGCTTTCAGATGGACCAGGATGCAATCCCATGATAATAGTGTGTGTAATCATGTCTTTTTACCTTACTTACTTACTTACTTACTTACTTGCCTGCCTGCTCCTCTTCTCCTAGCAGTGCAAAATAATTGTCTTTTATGCAGTGCAGTGTAATGACATCAGTTCAGTTTCTTTCTAAAAACAAAAAACTAACTGGTGCACCCAAATGGCCTTTTAAACAAACAAAAATCACAAGAACTTTAAATGTCCTTGAGATTAGGGATAGGGTAGGAGAGCATACAGAAAACTAACATGTAGGAGGATCAGACTACGTAATCATGGGCTTGGAAGAAAATGAGGTGCCTGTTTGTAATGGGGAAGCAAGTAGGGAAATATCCTTGGGAAAATAATGCCAGGAGATCATGGCTGTTTCTGCTTCTTTGCTCCCTTTTTCTTTTGCTGAATCTGCAGGGTTTTTCACCTTCTTTCCTCCCCAACTGAGCTCTGCAAACCAGAATCTTTGCATTGTTAAGGAGGCAAAAATGTGATGAGCAATTTATCTTACTTTTTCAAATATGACTGTTAATGGATACTTCTATAGTGGGAGAAGAGGTTAAGATGTAAAAAGGAAAAAAACCTCCCCAAACCAAGTGGTCATACTGGAAGGTGGATATATAATGTGTTTTGTTGGTTTCAATTGTTGAGTTGCAACACAGTTTAACTGCAACAAGATCCATGTCCTAGATTTTACAGAATGTTAAAGAGATGCACAGAACTATCTTCTGTTGCTAAAGAACAGGAAGCCCAGATTTCCAGAACTATTCTTATGCTAAGTTGCAAGGTAGCATTACTGTATGTAGAGTAGTAAGAAACTGTGGGAAAAGACATATATGCTGGATCACACCAACAGCCTTCTCCCTTGGTCAGTACTGCTGCTACCTCCACTTCTTCTCTGGCAGGAGAAAATGAATGACTTGAGTCATGAATGCCTCCTACAGGGAGCCTCTTCTGAATGATTTCAATTCCCTTATAATCTCTTGCAAGTTTCTTCTGAAGCCACTGTATCTGAGATGCTTTCACCTCAGGCACTCAGTTGCAGGGAATTATTTTTATTTCTTTCCAGTTGCATGAGGTGGAGGCGGCAGCAGAGAAGGAAGCAGGTGAGGCAGGACTAATGGCTTGAACCAGCATTGAAATTGTTCTGTGCTCATCTGTTAGTACAGTTGCAAAACTGTGCTCACAGACAGTACAGGTGAAATATCTGCTGCGTGTCCTCATTTTGTTATATTTCATGACTACCTTCAATTTTAATGTTTATTAGAAATCCCATTTCAGCACAAGTACATCAAAACTGTAATAAAAAATATATAATATTAGTAACTGAGCATGAATACTATCCAGTTCATAACAATCAATGGCAGTTAATGCAACTTGTCTCTCTGTGGTTTGCTACTGGCTTAGGACAAAACTGGTCTATTGGCTCTGTACTGGTAAGTGGACAGGAGAGTCAGTAGATTTTTATGGATTGCCTTTTTCCAGAAGAGTTTTGCAATCTGATCTGTTTGAGGGGAAGGTCTATCCTTTAGATCAATCAGCTGCTCACAGGGACCAGTCCTGAAGCTTCTCATATGACCCTGCATCCCTTTAATTCCCCACTTACGCAGGGGTTACATTCCGGCACCCCATGCACACAAGTGAAAATTACGTAAGGTCTAAACACCCTTTAAATGCCCTTTCTGCCAGTCTCTCTCCAATCCAGATCAAAAGTACTGCTTCTGGCTGGGGGCTGGAGGATGTGGGGAAAACTGGCGATGGCTGCTGTGCTACCACATACATCAGCTGTTAGGCGGGGAGGTTGAACAGCTTAAACCTAAATTACAGGACTGTGACCATGTTATTTTTAGGGGAAGTTTGCAGACAAATTTTAAAGGGGCAAATAAAGTCCCTTTAGCATTATGGGATAATGAGCCAAACTACACATTTTTCTGTTGTGTGTAGTTTTTGCTTTGTACAGATAACTGCCATAAGAGGATTCTTATACTTTTCTTCTCTGGAGATCTTTCTTCTGAAAACTGTAATACCCCCCCCCCCCAATATATACACACACATACCAGAGAAAAGATTTTGATACATTTAGTGGACAAAGAAAAAAATGGTACTCTATTCCCCCTACATTCTTTTTTATTTGTCTGTCAATATTTTTTGGCTCCATACATTCTCAATATATTTGCAACTAGTGGTAGAATTTCCAGCAGAGGTTGATTAGAAGGAGGCAAGGCCAGGCCAGGCATTCTGTGGCTAGTCTTGTCCGTAGGAAGGTACTTTGGGATCACAGACAATGTTTAAATATCTCTGTATAGTTGTTTGGGAAATTTGTAGCTTAAATAATTGCTGCCAAAAACAGTGTTCTGAAGGTTTTCTTCCTCGTTTCCTTTCAAGTTCTACAATGCATGTTTATAAAATTTGTTATCAGCTATCTTAAAAAAAAAAGGATAACTTTTTTAAAGACGTCAAAAGACTTGTTTTCTTTCTGTTTATCTCTCTTCAGGCTGGATAACACATTAGAGGAAATTATATTTAAGTTGGTCCCAGGGCTTCGAGAACGTAAGTATCCCCCTCTTCATTTGGTTGCTTGCTTTCTTTTCTTTGCAATCCTGTTGATATTCCAGCATAACTGAACTGAAATATCATGCTCCTTTTTTTGTTGTGAACTAGAAGAACTATACCGTGAGACTGAATTCTGGAAGAAAAACAAACCTCAAGAAAATGGAGATGGTAATTACATCCTTGATTTTTTAAAAGTGACGTTTTGATAAGATCCATTGTATTTTAATCTCAGACGTCAAAAGCTGCATGAGAGTCAGTGCTCGCAAAACTATACCTGTATGTTCAGCTGTTGCTTTTTCCCTTGGAGTTAACTCTTGCAGCTATTAGTTACATGGCTTATTTATACACATCATACGGTAAAATGCTTAGCTTCTAGAGTTGGTTGTCTACATAGTTGTGCATATAGAGAATATATGTTATGCTGTTTCTAATGTTTTTTATCCAGTTATACCTCCTAGGAGCATTCTTGTGCATCTGAAATGTTTCACATTGGCATACATAAGGAAAGGATTTGGGCTTTTGTTTTTTGTCAAAATCTGTAATCTGCTATTTGAAAAAAGAGAACTAGAATTGGGTGTTATTGTCATCAGCATACTGATGGCACCTCCCTCCCAAACCCAAAAAACCTCCCATAGCAGTCTTGTGAAGATATTGAACAGCAGAATAGATAAAATAGACCTATTTGTGACTGCATGTGCAACTGCCACCACACAAAGAAGGAACACTCAGCACCACCACATTGAGTTGTGCCTCACTGGTTTCAGTACAACTTACTGCTTAGTAAGCATGCTGTGGATTTCATTCTTAGTCCGTTTGTTTGAAGGTTGTGGAATGTGTGTAAATGGTACGTTTTATTTCATTTTACTTATGCAGAAGAAAATCCAAAATCTGAAGATCCCAAAGATGATGAAGATGGAGATGAAAATCAAGATGATAAAGACTATCACAGGAGTGACCCACAGATTGCTATTTGCCTGGATTGTTTACGTAACAATGGGCAGTCCGGGGATAATGTAGTAAAAGTGAGTTTTGATAATATTTTTGTTTCTTAAATAACTTGAGCAGTATATGAACCCTTTTTATCTTCATGCTGTAAACAGCATAGGTTTGTTGACAGTTGAAGATTCTAATTTCCTGCAACTGTATCGTTGTGTGCAACCTCTATTTCATGAGCAGTGAGAGGTGCCAAGGGTGCCTGCATTTACCCAGGGTTCACTTGCCTTGGGATGGAGGTCAGTAGAGACTGTGCTGTCTTTAGCATACATAGTTATTCATGTCCTATAATTAACACCCAAACAGATCTTGCTTCCCCAAGGGACGCCCAAAGCCAGGGAAGCTCCAAGTCACCACTTGAGTCCAGCACAGAGCAAATATGCTTCTGTGTCTCTAGCTTCCAGCATCAGCATCACATACACAGCCCTCCTTGGCCTATTCTTCTCCATCCTAGGATGGCAAGGCATCCAGCCAGGTGAGGTGGGGAGGGGAGAGTCCATCCATTTGTCTCTATGGCAACAGAGATCATTCTTTAAGTTGCCAGGGACCTTGACAAAAGAACTGGTCTGGCCAGTTAAGCTACCTTTTCTAGTAGATTTAAAACCTCCTTGATACAGGAGCATAGGCTTGGAGGGACCCAGGGTATCATCCAGACTGACCCACAAACCTATAATATTCTTTTTCAAAACTATAGGAAGGCTGAACCCTTCCCCTGCTTTTGCTTTGGAACACCTGTACCCAGGTTGCCCCCCCCAATGGGCTCATTTTCAGTCACTGAGTCTTGTTAGAATACATAAAACAGCAGGGGAAGTTTCAGCACCCTGTTGCCTATTGCCACTTCTCCACTTGAAATCAGCCTGCTACTTTCCCATATAGCGGCAGTCGAAAATATAGGCAGATGTGTTGTTTGGTCTTCAAATGTCAGTGTTTTATTTAAAACATTTCTTACCTGCCCTTCAATGCAAATGCCATTCCATTTCACTGCAAATTAAAACAAATTGAGACACATTATACAAGTACTAAAAATAGAGTAGTTAAAACCAGCCAACTAAAATAAACATCAGTACTAACAATGAAGTCCACTAAGAGCCTGGGCAAATAACCAGGTTTTCAGCTGCTGTTGAAAGGTTAAAAGAGTGGGTGCCAATTGTATCTCACAAGGAAAGTGTTCTATGTATAAAAGTTCTGTTGCACCTGTGAGCATACCTTTATAACAGCTGGCATGCTGCCCTAAAACAACACTGCTATAACAAAAATGCTAAGTAGAGTAGCGTTTGTGTTGTCACTGAAAGTTTGTCAAATGAAGCTAACCTAAGGCTTCCAAATTCTAAATGTGTTCTACCACTTAGCTGTAGTACTTTCTCATCCTATGAATGATCAAGCACGTTTGTCTGTTTTTCATTGGGTTTCATTTTGGAACCCAACGAAGACTGAAATGTGTATTCAAATTTACAGTTTTTTGTCTTCTTTCCTTTAGGGACTGATGAAGAAATTCATCCGGTGTTCTACACGAGTTACTGTAGGGACCATCAAGAAGTTTCTAAGTTTAAAATTAAAGCTTCCAAGTTCTTATGAGGTATGATAGACAACAAGCCAAAGATTTTACACTCCTTCCTGTGATTAAGTTAAATGGACATATCATGTCAGGCTTCAGATGTATAAATATTGTTTGGCTTTAATGTCAAACATGCACTGCAATATCAATAAGCCAACCCTTTCCAAATTTACTAAGATGCCAGTCACACTGAGTTCAGTGTACTCCAGTGTAAGTGTGCATGGGATTGTAGTTTTAGTGTCATAATCGAGGGTAAAGCCTATCTTTTACTGAGGATTATTATTCACTGAGAAATCATCATTAATGTCACCCCAGTGAAAAATGCTACTAACTGCATAAACATTTCCTCAGTGAAAGTGTTACTTCATCTGAAATGGTATTTGTTCCTAACTCTGAGATATAGATGGGTGTTATTACAATGAAACAGGAAGTTTTGTCTCACTCAGACAATGAGACATTAATAATCCAGCCTTCAGCTCTAACTGGTGAAAGCAGCTGTAGGAGTAAGGCAGGTTCTATAACCATAAATGCCAACAAATTGAACATTGGCATTTTTGGCCATAAATAGTGATTTGAAGAGGGAACATAGCACTATGGATACAGCACATAGCTGCATTCATTAAGTTCCAAGTTTAGTTTCTGTCATCTCCAGTTTGTTTTTCTAAGATCACATGGAAGGCCTTGGCCTAAAACTTTGGAGAACTGTTGCATATTTAAGCTGCCCATGGTGGACCAGATGGACAAATACTGTAGCTTGGTATAAGGCAGTTTCCTGTACTTGTATGCAAAATAATTATTTACCTTCCTTAATGATCAGACTGGCTGCCCCTCCCTTTTCCCCCCTTAAGCAACATATGCAAATTTATTTGTACATTCTCCACCTTACTTTTTAAAAAATCACTATCATGTAGCTTTCCTATGCTCGCTAAAAGCCCTTTACTAATCTGATAATAGGGACGCAGGTGGCTCTGTGGGTTATATCACAGAGCCTAGGACTTGCCGATCAGAAGGTCGGTGGTTTGAATCCCCGTGACAGGGTGAGCTCCCATTGCTCGGTCCCTGCTCCTGCCAACATAGCAGTTCAAAAGCACATCAAAGTGCAAGTAGATAAATAGGTACCGCAACCCCAGAGTCGGTCATGACTGGACCTAATGGTTAGGGGTCCCTTTACCTTTTAATCTGATAATGGGATCAAATGGACTCCCAAGTAAATCATGGTTTAAAAACACTGCAAGTTGATGTGCCGCAATCCAAGCAGCTTTTCTAGTTTGTCTCATTGTAGGTGGTATGTATAGATGCTGGGTCTCCTGTCTGGATTGAAAGTGAAAATACATGTGGACTTGTAAAAAAAGATCTTTCTGGATCAGGGCCATTTCGTTTGTATTTTGTTCAGTTAAACAATGATCAATAGCATTATGTTGCACTAGGATAATGTGTTCTCGTTTATATTCCCTATCATTGCCTCTTATATACTAATCAGTTTTAGGAAACATTGCAATAATTTATGGAAATTGGTGTTTTTATGTTTGTGTTTTTTACTCTTAATGTTATTTTGTGATTTACAGTACTTCCCTTTTCCTTTTCTTTCTAAGCTGGATGTACTATGCAACGGGGAGATCATGGGGAAAGATCACACTATGGAATTCATCTATATGACAAGATGGAGACTACGAGGCGAAAATGTAAATAAAATTAGAAATAACTCTAATAATTTATTTTGTGTATATATAGCTTATTTGCTACCTTAAGTTTCTAAATTTATGTTTAAAAGCCTCAACAGGACTCATTAATAACTATTTTAAAATGCATTGCTGGCTTCCAATAGTCCATGTTTTCCCAAATTTTATGATACAGTGGCATGATAACTGATGGTTATTCCAAACCAGCACCACCTTGGCTGCTTTGGCACAGAGTGTAAACAAAGAAACCAGCTGGCAGTAGCCACTTCTTGCTGGGAACTAAGATAAAAATTAAGTCATGGAGTCCAGGGAGAAGGGGGCCTTGCAGCCTAGGAATGTATTTGTCAGTGAAAAGTACAGAAAACAAAGCTTCTTGGTGCCAAGTGGTTACAAAAAACAAAAGAGAAATAGATATGGGGAAATTGGGAAGGTGCTTGAACATTCATCATAAAGAGATCTAGTAGTTAGCTGCCTCAGGAGTAGCAGCTTCCTCACAAAGTACCATTTCAAAAAGATGAGCACTTGACATGGGTACCATTAGTACCATCTATTATATTATTCTGAGCAATGACTCAGACAGGCTGAGAAATGATTAAATGCAAGAATATTTTAGGACGTTCAGATTTGGAAAGGAATTGACTTGCATTGCTAAAAGTGATTACTTCAGAAGGATAATTTAATTTTTTTAATCCCTGGTTATGTTTTGCAATCATATATGTAGATAGAAATCGTCCTTTAGACTAGTAGCACTTTTAAAACATGGCTTATACTAGTTTAATGCATAGTATGAGCAGATAGGAGCTTGCACAATACATCTTTCCCTTTTCCTTGCAATGCCCCTACAGAACACTGGAGCTGTAAATAGCTGCATAAGTGGAGGGGAGGGATGCACAGTATCAGATTAGAAAAACTTGCACCATGGAGATGCTTATTGGGGGGAGCAGAGGAAGGGAAAGGTCCATTGCATGAGCTTGTCATGCACTCACACAGTGTTGTATACAACCCTATTCATCTACTGAATATAAAATACAGTGGTACCCCGCAAGACGAACGCCTCGCGAGACGAAAAACTCGCAAAACGAAAGGTTTTTTCATTTTCGAGTTGCCTCGCAAGACGAATTTCCCTATGGGCTTGCTTCGCAAAACGAAGCTTGCCCAGGGGACAGCGGGTCTTCTCTTTTGAAGCAAGGGGCGGCGGGGAGAAGCGATCTTCTCCCCGCAGGTCCGGGGACAGCGGGAAGCGCTTCCCGCTGCCCCCGGACCTCTTTTGAAGCAAGGGGCTGCGGGGAGATCGCTTCTCCCCACCGCCCCTTGCTTCAAAAGAGGTCCGGGGACAGCGGGAAGCGCTTCGCGCTGCCCCCGGACCTCTTTTGAAGCAAGGGTTTGCGGGGAGATCGCTTCTCCCGGTGCTCTGAAGCCGGGCGGGGGGGAGGGAACACCTGCCCCAGCCGCCCTGCTTCGGAACGCTGCTCCAGCATTTTAAAATCTCCCCGGGGCAGCGGAGACTTCGCTCCCGCCCGTCAGCATTTTAAAATTGCCCCGGGACAGCAGGGGCTTTTAAAATGCTGGCGGTCGGCAGCAAAGCCCTCCTGTCCCCGGAGCTTGCGGGGCGGGAGGTGGGAAGAAGGGCTTTTCTTCCCACCGCCAGCCTTCAGAACAGCCTTCTGAAGGCTGGCAGTGGGAAGAAAAGCCCTTGTCCCCCCCCCCCCAGCCTTCAGAAGAGGTCGGGGGACAGACTGTCCCCGGACCTGGTCTGAAGGCGGTTTCCCTAGGAACGCATTAATTGATTTTCAATGCATTCCTATGGGAAACCGTGCATCGCAAGACGAAAAAAACCGCAAGACGAAGAGACTTGCGGAACGAATTAATTTCGTCTTGCGAGGCACCACTGTAATGGGTGGGGGGATTATATATTTTCCATTCTAAGTGAATTCTAGTCACAACTAAGAAACTATTTGCATATCTTATAGCCTTAGGTAGCCTTTTTTTTATTCCTGTTTGTGCCTTAAGCCCTCCAAGTTAAGTGGAAAGTGGAAAGCACTTTCACTCATTCAAGGAGAAAGTTCCTAATTCCCTCTCGTTGCATCTGCACCCTTTGCTGCACAAATCCTGAAAAGAGTTGAGGATCCTTCAAGAACACTCCCAACTCTCTGTAGGCAATTCTGAAAGAGTAGGTAAACTGTATACTAGGAGGCAGTGAGAGGGAACAATTGAGGACACTTTTGTGTATGCAGAAGCTCTTTTTATTCCCCTTGTACAATGGGGTTTTCAGATCAGTCCCTAGTAATTTTCACCTTGCTCCCTTTCTAGTTCTTTTGATTATAAAATGAATATGCCTACTAATAAAACTGGTCCAGTACAAGTTATACGTTTTGCTGTTAATCTCTGATAGCAATGCAATACCTGTCTTAATTGTAAAATAATTAAATTCTCAAATGTGAAACAGAATTATAAATGAGATGACTGATAATCCATGTCCAGTTGTGGATGCCTCTTATCTGATCAGAAACTCGTCTCCTTCGCAGTTTCGGTGTCAGAACTGCTCATCTTCGCAAGTCTGCTCACAGGATGGCTCTTTTTATCAGGTAAGAGGCACTCCCGACTGTACACATTATAGTCATTAAGATGACATTAACACAACCATTGTTAATGAAGCCCAATGGGTGGCGTGGCGGGTGTCCTTTTAATTCCATATAAGAAAGTCTCCCAAGACCAAAATTAGCCTTGCAGGTCATAAGCCTCAGGTGCTTTCAGAAGGTCATGCAGATTAAATTTTTTAATGCATGTAATAATATTTATTCATTAATTTGTTTGTTTGTGAAATTTATATCCTCCTTTTCTGTTTGCATACCCAAGGCACATATCAAAGATAGAAATAGTATAAAATAGTGACACTAAGGCTATAGTCCTAAGTCCTGATTAGCACTGCTATAGGACCTTAGAATCCATTGGGCATTCCCACCCATTGACCTTTTCCTATGGGTGTGCAGGGAGCTCCCCCACCACAGAAGCCCCTGCTGCAGCTATGGATCTGCTGGATCCTAAGCCAGTCCAGCTCCTGAAGAGAGACCCAGTCTGTTGTGCCAACCTGCAGCTGGTACAGCCCAACAAAAGGGAAAGAAGTGAATGTCACTGCCCCTCCCTCCTGCCCTGGCCATTATAAGTTAAAGAACATTGAAGTGGCTCTGCCATTCTGGTTACCCCACTGACCCCTGGCCAGAATTAGGATTACTTTGCTCATAGATTTATAAACATAAGTATCCTAAGAAAACTTCAGAGATATGTTATAACAATTGAGGGCTGGCTTCTCCCTGTACTGCTGGCACTTGATGTTGACTGGCTACCACATAGATGGGAGTTAGAAGGTAGTATTTAGCCCCTCTATCTGCTGTGGTTGTTGATGCTTCCAGTACCAGCAGCCTTGGTGACTCCCTCTGATGCTGTTTAATTGTTTGTGTATGATTTAAACACTTTTAATTGTTAGGATACGTGGAGACTAGGAGTGAATGGTTCATAGCCATGTTTCATTAAGACAACTGGGAAAAGAACAAACACCTGTATATATATATATATATATAGAGAGAGAGAGAGAGAGAGAGAGAGAGAGTTCAGTAGTGAGATGATAATCAAACTTCTGATAAAATAATCCATTTCCTTAGCTCTTTGTAAAATAGTAAGCCAAAACGATAGGCCAAAATGTCACAAGGTGATTTGCCCTCCTATAGCCCTGCTTGCTCAAGTTACGTTACATGTAACTAAAGCTGCATTCTCATGCAGCAATGGGATGATCCCTGAATTGCCTGAAAACAGGGCTGGCACGTCCCGTTTTGCTGCCAGAGGCAAAAGGGAAAGTGCTGCTACTGCACTGCCCGCCCCACCCCCTCTGCTGCTGGAAGAGAAGTGGTGTTGGCACCAGCACTGATTTCTGTTGAGATTTCACTGAAGTCTCGCAAGATCTCACCAGAAATCTTGGGGGCGCTGCCTCAGGGACTTTTACCACCCAAGGTGGCTGCTTCACCCTGCCCTACTGGTGAACCGGGCCTGCCTTTCACCACCCAAGATGGTGTTTGATAGTTTAATGTATGTTAATAGTTTATTTAGCTGCTTAGGACTTCATGGGATTTCAGCCTAAGATTCCAAAGGTTTCCGTGCACTGCTCTGGTTCGCCAGAAGCAGCTTGGTCATGCTGGCCACATGACCCGGAAGCTGTACGCTGGCTCCCTCAGCCAATAAAGCGAGATGAGCGCCGCAACCCCAGAGTCGGTCACGACTGGACCTAATGGTCAGGGGTCCCTTTACCTTTTACCTTATATGTTAAACTGAACTATAGTGAGTGGCACAAGGGCCCTCGGTGTATTTAGCTTCCTCCTGCTCTCTGGAACATGTGATGAAGCCCAGTAAGGCCCCCAGCAGCAGATTTGCCAGGTTCACTGCTTCAAAGCAGGCCTGAATAAACAGACTGGAGATGACATTTGCATAGGGGCTGCTTTGAAAGGCTATACAGAGGGAAATAATGGGTTCAGATTGGTCCAGAAATTAGGCAATGTATTGTCTGATTTGGGGAGAAATACTTCAGCTCATCTCCAAGGCAGTCTGACACGACATGGGAAGAGCTAGCCCAACTCTTGTTGTTTTAATTTACAGAGCCCCTCCTTTTTGTTTTGCTTCTTTAATGTGTATAAGTTGATGAGTAAAATATTTTGATACGTTTTAAATAATTCTACTGCATATGTGCTTATGTCTACATGCTGTCATTGTTTCTGTTTTCATTGTGGTTCTAGTCTTACCCCATGGTACTCCAGTATCGACCCAGAATTGACTTCGGTTAGACCAAAGGGCCAGATCCCACTGAGATTAAACCTGCACTATATTTACCCATCGACAGATTGCACAATGAATGGACGTGCCTGGATTTGGGGGTGGGGGGTGGGAAAACAAGATCAGAATTCCAGCATGCAGATACGGACTTTTTCTTCAGCTGATCAACTATCTTCCCCACCCCGTTAGCATAATCCAAGTGCCATTCTCCTACTGAAACATTCATAAGATGTTTGTGACATCAGAGTTTGCGAGTCATAGCCAAATAGTTAAATGTATAGTCTGAATCTCTGGAATACTTGCTTTGCCTGTTAGAAACCTTCCTTGGTCTATAACATTGATTACATCGGCAGAGATGGCCATCGGCTCTTTCACATGTGGTGTTGCTGTTCGTTTGTTTTTTTCCACATTAACTATCTTACTGAAAAATGTTGTTTGAAAGTACTGTATAAAAAGGTTAAATATGCCTTTACATATTTTTTTTTGTATATAATACATGTTTTAGAAATGTGGTTGTTGTGCCACTAACGTTTTCTCATTCAGTTCCCCATAGGTCCAGGTAGCTAACTCGTTAGTATACAGCAGTCTCTTTGCAGAATTTGAAATTTTAGATTTTGTGTCAGAGAAGTTAAATGCGACAGTTTGTATTGAATTGAAATGGTATAATGTCTCATATCCTTTCAGCAGTGTATATAACTTAACCTAGAGTTTTAAATTGCAGAAATAGCAAATCTGTAAACATGCAGCAGGTAAGGTTATTTTGTCTTTTTAAAAGTCTATTACATAATATTTTTTTAAATAAAAGAAGAAACAGGAAGCGTCATAAACTGTAATATAAAAAGTGTTAGGTATTTTTTGAAACTGTTGCCATTGCAGGCTTCCCTTTCCAGATTTCCTTGAAGGCAACAATGTGGGAAAGAGGTAGTTTTGAAATTGGTGGTCTTAAGTGTGCTAGATTAGGACCACTGCACCTAAATATACGTCTGTATTATTTTAATATATTCAGTAACACATCGACATGTTGTAAAATGTTAATGGCATTTCAACCACATTTTTGGGTTATCTGGAATCTAAAAGCTATAGTAGAACTGGTTGTAACACCTGAAACAGAAACAGATTTAACATGATTGACAAAGCTACCTGACCAAAATCCACTGACTGTTCAAGGGAGGGGGGAGGTTTCCCCTGACAAGCGGTAGTGTTACAAAAATACTAATGGCTGCCTTAGGTATCGCATGTGCATTCTTCCTTGTTTAAAAATGTTGTGTTTTGTTTATGGATATCATTACAAAGCTAGTAACATATTGTTATTTTGTTTCCTGTCTTCCATTACTTTTGCACAGTTAAAAGCCAAAACAATACAGCTGAATGATCTGTACAAGTTTTAATAAACAGAGTTATTTGTAGAGTAAACGGCACACTACAAGTAACTACATTCACTTTCGGATGCTATGATGTAATTAATTCACTTCAGGAAAATGTGGCAGTACAAATACCACAGCCCTAGCATGTAAAAGTAGGAAGTAGATGGTGAAATAACTGTAGGCTGCCATTTCTGTGCCCCACAACATGATCAGGAGTGTCAGGCACAACACAGCAGATGGGAGGAAAAAGGAGTGGCTGGACTAAAGCCCATGCTGTCTTCCTCTAACTTATACTTGATGACAGTGTCAATAACTATCACCTGTTAAATGCTCTGGGCATGGTGCAGAAGTACCACTTGCATACACTCCTATTTTGGGTGCAGAGAGCTTGCACCTGCCTAACGTTCTCCCCCTTTCAACAGTTTGGCCTGCCACTCATGCCATATCAAAAACTGATTTTCTAATTCACTTCAGTTTCCAAAGCAGTTGTTTCACTGTATGTGAGGCTGCTGCTTGAGAAGAATAAGTCCGCAGCTTCTTTAAGCTCTTGGAACTACTTATCTGGATCTTAGCCAGATATTGTGTACACACACAGGTAACATCTAGCAGTGGATCTTAATTACATTATATAAGCCTACTTCTGTGTATAGGTTAGTATTTTAGGATGTGGCAAATTCCCCCTTTGCACTGTGTTTCACTAGAATGATTCTGGATATTACCTAGAAGGGCAAGGGGAGAAGAAAGTTAATGAGTTGATTTGTGTATCTGTTTGCATAGTCCTGGATGACACCCAAAGCGGTAGCTCCTGCATCTTCCTTTGGGTGCAGATCCAGAATGTGTATACTTTGCCATGGAGAGGATATGGGAGTCACCACTTTTCCCCAAAGTGTTCCCCATATGCAACCCAAAAGCTTGGAAAGAGATGCCTAGACCATAGTCTTCAGCTTTTTAAGGTAACATCCAAAGATGCCCTGAAAAATCTGTCAGTGCAGATCCATTGTATGCATAGTGGCTTTACTTAAGCTACTGAAATTGTTGCCGTTTAAGATCTGAAGGACCTCCAATAGCAACAAATATTGATTTATTTTCTTCAGTGCTCTGCCAACTTGAGCATTGTTAAAAATTCCCACATTCCCACAAACAAAAGACTTATTTTCACAAATGGAGTATGTGCAACTTATTTCTGAACTATTTTTTGGTTTCCTGTGGAAAATGAGCTGTTAAATCCTTCCTTTGATTCATGGAGGTAAATGTAATGTTTCAAAACTTCATTCCGACTGACTTAAAATACATTCTCAAAATAATCTATTTATTTTGATAGTATGCTTCCTTTAAACGTGCTTTGTCCAAATCCTCAGAAATCTAACAATTATAAACCTTGTGTAATTATGTTGTACGCTGGCAGAAAATTTGCTATTCTCCGTAGAGAAAGGGCCATATAAAAACTAGAATTTGGGGTCTGGCTACAAAGATTTTCTACATCAATTGCAGTAGCATCTCGGATGTTTAAGGCTGGGAACCATTCATCTTATTTTTTATTTTTTTGCATTTTGTTTTTAATAGCGTAACCTTGATTAATGGGAGCAAATATTTTCCACTTGGAAAAAAAAGCATGGAAATCCAAGACAGACTTGTGAGCTGTGAAACGCTAAGAGCCTTAAAATGTTTCTTGCACATGTAACCTCTTTGTGGCTTATACCATTGCATTTCTGGTTCAGTTGTATAGTGCCTCTACTGAGTTGGTTGGGTAATTGTAGGAAGGACCACCAAGTGCAGTCGTCTTCTATAGAACTTTCTAACTTCTTAGTTCACTGACGATTCTCCCTATTTGTTCATCTGATCACTCCTAAAAATATATAAACGGTGTGCCAAGAACAAGTTAAATATGAAATATGAATAGAGCACGATCACAGGCTTCCTTGTGTCAGAGGAACATTGCATAAATGAAGATAGTGCACACAGAGATATCCATAGCCAAACTGACTGGGGGTAAAAAAAATAAAATCAAACCAGACAATGGCTTCACTGTTTGCTCACTTCCTATAAGCCTAGTATGTGCTGAGGATTCTCATTCCAAGGCATGTTTTCTATTGGGAGAGTTCATACCTCAGCAATAAAGCACATGATTTACATACAGAAGGTCTCAAATGGCATATTCAGTTAAAATTAGGATAGAAAAGACTGCTTCCTGGAGAGCAGCTGACAGAAAAGAGTGGACAATACTGGGCTTGATGGGCAAATAGTCTGGCCAGCTTCCTCTGTTCTGTGAAAGAGAATTGCTCCATGGACATGGAAGCTGTTTCCCATGTGCAGGCTGGCATTTTCCTTTCACAGAAGAAATGGAAAGCTTTTAATCTTGCCCTGGGCATTTGAAACTACTCTTCTGCATGCCCAGCCCAAAGAATCGTAACACTGCTGTGCCCGCAAGTAAGGAGTAAATAGTATACAAGCTTAGGGCATAGAGGGATCCCTATAGGATAAGACATGAGGTTACATATGTAGATTGATTTGCAGGATTGAAGAAATGCTACTGGTTTAGATTTATCTCTTGCACAGAAATAAAGGTTCTGCCTGGTTTCTCTTCCCTTGAACGAAATTTCAACTAGTTAGTAATGTGTATTCTTTGAAGATTTCATGCCAAATGGTTTACTTTCTTTTTCTTCTTCGCTGGCATCCAATCTCAAATGCCTATATAATGCAATACTGTTAAATTAGAATAAACTATGTAGTGTTAACACGCAGAGTTTTCCTAAATCAAAATCCCCAGTTTTCCCAGATTAAAATGCTTATTCAAGCTGTTTACACAAAACTGCTTTAAAGATTGCATGGGAAGGGTCCTCTTCTACAGTTTAGGATAGACGTGTGTACTGCTTCTGGACAATTGAAATAAAAAGTATACATTTTCATGGCTGTTCTTGACTCTTGCCGAGGTTAAGTGTTAGGCTGAATGTGCTAAGTGACTCTCTGCTTTTCTTGTAGCATCTTTTATGCAGAGCAGTATGTGATAAGAAGAGAAGGGCATTTCTGCTTTATACGTATTTCCCAAGGTCAATGAGTGATAAGCAAGCAGGATTAGTAATTTAAGAGAGAGAGAGAGAGACCAGGAAATATTCCCAGAATGCTTAGTTATCTTTGTAAAAGATGACACTAAACCACAGGGGGCTTATTTCCCCTATGAATGGAATTTACCTCCTAGAACTGCATTTGTTTTGTTTTGTTTTATTGGCAAGGGGTTCACATTTAATGATGATCTTAGATGCTGGAGTGTGCCTGAAGGTCTCTGTTGCTTTAAAATTGGTCCTGAGAAATGCTCACCTATGAAAAGGTACAAAGCCTTTTGCTTCAGTGCTGGTGGCTCTGCTATACCTGGCCTATGAACCAAAAACTCTGTGCCCTGTCGATCTTGTAAATCTGCAAAGCACAAAATACTGATCAAACTAATTTCATTCAGCCTTTTAAAAATAGCTTTGAGGTTTAGTTACATAATCCTTAGCCAGAAAGAATAGGCCTGGAGTATGTGACAAGGTATCAACATCCATTTGTAGTATTTTTGTTTGTTTTAGCAAAGAACATTGCTTTCAGTCATGTCTGTCCTGTGGGTTAGCAAATAAGGCAACACTGTGTTATGCATTATACACAACATAGTCCATTTTGATACATATTTTCAAAGTAGTTTTAACTTTAAAAAAAACAACTTGTCCACAAAATTTTATTTGCTTTCTAGACTAGAAAATAAAAATGCATAGATTAGCCTACCACATTACAGTCAGCCATTGAAAAGAGAAACTGTGTGGCATTAAAAAATAATAACCCAGGTAACTTCTGGAGGGCTGTATTCCTGTACACACTTACTTGGGTGTGAGCGCCCCCAGAACATTGTAGGACTGACTTCTGGGTCAGCCTGCTTAGGATGGTCTGTAAGTGTCCTTGCATAAGATGTGAGCTGCTTCCACCTGGCAGTTTACTGTGGATATAGTGCTGCTCATGTATGCCAGTTCTGTGCAGTGTCCACACAACATCCTTATCAAAATGTCATCCCATGATATTTTCCCTTTTAATCTGGATTTACTGTTTTCACAGAAAATCTGATAAGTAAAGAAAACCCCTGCAGAAACAGTAAGTCTGTATTAAATTGGGGGGGGGGGGCAGGGAAGGATATGGGATGGCATTTTGTTGAAGATCTGTAGACACAGCAACAGATTTGCATCACTGAGCAGCACCAAGTCTAAAATAAACTGCCTTGAGAATCACAACAAGTGCTAGGGACCAGAGAAGAGAGAGATTAGCTGTTATTCTTCTAAACTTATTTGTATGTAGTTGGTGGTTGAATTGGTACTCTAACGGCTCTTGAAGTATGTAGAGAACTAATTGCATAATATCCCATTGTTAATTTTCTTTTCAGGTATGAACTATTTTAAGCCTTTTCTTTTTCTGTGTCAAAAGTGGTAACATAATAAACCTTTTTGTGGTTGTAAAGTTTAGCTTATGAATCATTCAAATTGAAGTGAAAAAAAAATCCAGGTCATTATTAATGACAGTCTATCCTACTTAGGAATAAATGTATTTTTGTAAAGGAAAAGCACTTGTAAATATTTACTCTGTTATCTGTTATCTGATATCTATGTTTTGTTTTGGAGGGGGGGAAATGCTGCCTCTTAGGGGATCGCCTAAATATTTTTAGGTTTGTGCTAAAATGGATTTCCTTTGCATTTGTGGCATGTTCATTCTGTACATAGCTGAATAGTTACAACTGGGCTAAGCACGTTTTATATCTGGACTTAGCTAAGTATGTCTTGAGTATGCCACAGAGTCTTTCATTAAATCTACCTGAAAGCAGAATATGCATTGGTGCTGTGTTTCCATTATCGATATTAGCTTCCTTCTGCCTTACAGCATTCCTACCTTTGTCACCATGTTATAACAAAGTTCTGGATTAACTGTGACAGTCACACTCCAGATTGATGTATCACTGGCTGCTTACGGTACTTTCTGTTTGCAGCTTATAATAGGATTTTGAGCTTTGGGTATCAAAAGTGGTGAGCCAGGAGACAGAGGGCCCCTTCAGATGATCTCTTTATTGAGCATTCATCCCACAGCAGTTAGATTCACTGAACATTTGTAGTGATTTGTCTGCATTCGTCCTACTTTGCTTGTTAGTCATCTACCTGTTAGTCATCTGTTCATCTCAGACTTTTCAATGTACTTCCTGGTCTCTTTCCTAACCACAAAAAGTCCATTTTGTTTTAAAAGTGGGCTTGCTATACTAGGGGAACAGAGCACCTCAGTCTGCTTCCATTGCTCACGCCTAAAGTTCTGGTATGCACTTTAATCTGTCCCACGGATCCCTGACAGTCTGGAGGCACCCAGAGCAAGAGCAAGTAAGGCCAAGACCAAAACAAACAAACAAAACTCCTTGTGAGTTAGGACAGATCTTGGGCTCAGGGCAAGAGGGTAGAGAGAGAAGCTGGTTGGTTATGATGAGTGGAGGCTGGCAAACTCTGAAGTCAGCTGGCTATTTAGCCCCCAATCCTGATTATTTTAACAGAAGACCATTTTACCTCTTGGCCCAATAAAAGGCTGGCTGCTTGGCAACCACGGTTATAAAACCCATTCTCATATCCAGTCAGTAGTTCAGTGAACTGGGGTGGGGGCGGGGACAAAGAAATGATCCAAATATATATTTTTCCAGTGCAGGTGGGTTGTATACCTGCATATTTTGAAAAGCTGTTCCCTAGGAAACTGCTGTTGGAACACAGAAAAGGTTTCAGCTGCAATTCTTGAATGACTAATACAAGGGGGGTTGCTGTCTGAAAAGAATTGAGATGGGGAAGGTGCTTAAGCTATAAGACTAGAGTTAGCCATTGGAAATTGTGCAGTAGCTGGAATTTAGTCCTTTTTTAATCTATCTTTTGGGGCCAATCACTGGGAAATAAATTACCTGTGCTATAGAATGAAGGTGGACGTCAACAACCCTGGAACTCAGGCTTGTGGTCAGATTCTGATAACTGTAATTCTGAGATGTTGCCTGACCTGAATCCCTTTAGAATAGCAGAATTCCATGCCGTTGCATATAATCTCTTTGATGGAAATGCTGTATAGTATATCTGAACACATGTGGCTGACCCAAAGTTTCCACTTTCACTCCTGAATGCTTTAACTCCAGTTGTTAATCTTTATTGTTTTGTCTGTTTTCCCAGAGAATTCTTAGTTCTCAACCACTATGCCAGAGAATTTGTTAATGTCTTTTAATGTTATGACATTATGACCTCCAGTTACTTTTCCTGAGCTGGATTGCAGCCTGCAAAACACATGCCTGTCTGAGAAACAGTGGCTGACATTAATTATATCTAAGGCAAGGTGTAGATGTTGCATTCTATTATGATCAATATTTTTGGTGGCTGCTTGTCGTTTTGAAGTTTTGATTTGTATCAGAAGGCAATACCAGTAAAAGACACAGCAGCATGTGCACATTATATAAACTTGGCTGAAGAAATGTGTTATTAATCAGCCCGGGGGGCGGGCAGGGAATGTACAAATAGTACTAGCCCACACAAATTTGCACTAGTCAACTTATCCACAACTTCCTATGTTAGTAGATGGATTAAGGAAGAATGAATGAACCAAAACTCCTCAAATTTAGCAAATGTTCCTTATCTAGCATGCCTGGAGGTGATTCATACTTGCCATGGGCAGTCAGATTAGTAGCCATTTATAACCCTGTCATTAATTATATTACATGTTACGTACTCATTTTAATAAGAGAGATAATGCTTCAAAGGCTGTGTTTAATGCTAATATCGATGTTCACAGCACCATTGTAAGCTGCTGGTGGAAACCACATCTTGTACGGTCCATATGCTGCAATATGCTTCTAGCCCAGTTGGCTAAAATCCTATAAATAAATATCAAGTTGGGCAAGTTGTATAACTCCTTTGCTTGTTAGCCCTGAATTGCTCCTTTCTGAAAGCAATAAATATATTCATGTTGTAACATCTGTTGTGCAGCCTACAGTAAGAGGCATCTTGTTGCACTTTCGTTTTCTATCTAATTTATTTTGTGCTATAAAAAGAATTCTTTGGTTCATCTGAAAAATTGTCTCATTTGTAAAAGGCTTTGGATGAAAGTGTTCTCTGGCTTCAACTCACATCACACTAGCAACCATAACGACTTCACACTGACCATGAAAAAAAATAAATCAAAATAAAGTTCCATTGAGTGGGATCTTGGATCATTGTGGCACTAAATCCACACCACCAGCATTATACCATGTAATTTCAATTCAAATAATATTTGCTCATTTACCATATATTCATGCCTCCTCCTAGAATTAGGCTAGGATCCAAAGTATCTTTGGATGCCCGAGTGGTTTCATTATTTTTTTATTTTTATTATTTGTATCATAGCTTTCAAAATACAAATCTTGTAGCTTACAAGAAACATTAAACTACCGGTACATTTTTTTAATGAAAAGCACAACAAAATGCCATAAATATCCTTCCTGCATGCCAGATGATGATAGAATGCTCTGTTGGGAGAGACAGAATAAGATCTAGCTGGGAAACACTCTGATGTTTGCTTTCTTTTTTTTGTATTCCACCCTCTCCTGGAAGCCGTTGCACAGGGCACTGAATGTCCTTGATGGGGGGGGTCTGGTGGGAGGGAAAGCTTCCTGGGTCAGACCACTGGCCCCTCTAGTCCAGCATCCTGTTCTCACAGTGGCCACCCAGATGCCTATGGGAAACCAAGGAGGACCAGAGCACAAGAACACTTCCCCTTCTCATAGCTCCTGGCATGCAGAAGCATTACTGCCTCTGAGCATGATGCAGAGTATAGTCACTGATAGCCTTATCCACCATGAATTTCTCCATGCTTATCTGAAGAACATCCAAACATTTCATCTCACACAAGGGCTTTTGGTCTGCTTTATACGTGGGATTTTCCGATGCAGAGATAATCGGTTTCTCAATCCATACACTAGCAGCAAAATAAATGCTCGTGCCAATTAAATCTTTTATTGCCTGTGTTTCATCAGAACCATTTTTTCTCATTTGATCCTGATCTTGCCTCTGTGACACTGGATAATGTCTTTAGTATCTATCTATTCAATCACCCACCCTAGAAGTTTGTTTAAAGCAAAGGCTATTTCCTGCAAGGTGCTCAACTGTTGCTAACAAACACCCTACTGCTATATGATCAGACCTGGCAAATGGACAAATGCACCTGGGGCCAGCCCATTCTGTTGCCTAAAACAAGTTGGCACCTCATATTTCGCATACAGAATCTGATGGCAGGAGTAAGCCAGCAGTAAGTCACACCAAGCAAGTTGGAATTAATTATTAGTAAAAACAGGATCAGCACAAGAGTGTCAGGCCTAATAAGCAAAGCAACACATCTCTGGTTCGTCTTGTCCCCATGAAGCAGTTGCTGAGACTGAAGGTCCCTGCCTCCTCACAGCTGCCTAAGTCCCCTCCTCTAAATTCTCCTCTGCCCTTTTCATGCCTCTCCTAGTTTTGGGAGACCACAGGGGAGGAGAACTTATCAAAGCAGGAGGGGGAGATATCCTTGCCTCTTCCCCAGTTAGACCCATGTCTGCCTCTGGGCCTCCCGCTTGATTTGGACATTTCTTCACCACAGACTCTCTAAGCTCACTAAGCCCTGTTCCCTCCTCAGCTTCCGAAACCTCCTCTTCCCAATCTTCTCCCTCTGGCCACCCATCATTGTCCCACCACCAGTCCCTGGGCTCTGAGCCTTCTTCCCTTGGGGGTTCCCCAGCTGGTTCCTCCCACCATTCCTCTGCGACCAGCCAGTCCATAACATCTGATCACAATGTCAGCTGAGTCCAACTTCTGGCAATGAGACATCACAGTTCAGTGCAGCAGGCGAAAGGGTGTAAGTCATGTGGCCTTAACAGCTCTCCCCTAACACAGAAGCATAGAATTGTAGAGTTGGAAGGGACCCCAGGGTCATCTAGTCCAACCCACTGCAATGCAGTACAGTGGTACCTCAGGTTACATACGCTTCAGGTTACAGACTCTGCTAACCCAGAAATAGTGCTTCAGGTTAAGAACTTTGCTTCAGAATAAGAACAGAAATTGGGCTCCGGCAGTGCGGCAGCAGCAGGAGGCCCCATTAGCTAAAGTGGTGCTTCAGGTTAAGAACAGTTTCAGGTTAAGAACAGACCTCCAGAACGAATTAAATACTTAACCTGAGGTACCACTGTAATCTCAGCTAAAGCACTCACAACAGGTTGCCATCCAACCTCTGCTTAAAAACCTCCAAGGAAGGTTTTTCTCACTGCTGCCCTTCATCCACCTCACTCTGCCTAATGGCCCTGCGTGGGGCATTTCTTTGTAAACACGCAAAAAAGAGGGTTTGCCTTTTCCTCCTTAACTTTCAGTGATAATTAAGCATTTGAATAATGTGTGACGGTCACAAACAGTTCTCCGGCACATTTTTAAAAAGGTTTGTTAATCTCTACTCTTCTACATAGCTATATATACACATTGTTGTTATGTATTTTAATTTAGGAAATGACATCCCTTTGTATAAATAATTCCGAAAAGCTGGGGAAGAGTGTTTCTGAATGCAAGGATATTTTCTCTTCCTCTCTTATTTTAACGGGACGCATGCCAACCTTTTTATGAATTATGAATGCAGAAGGCTCCTTTCCAAATGAAGTTGCTGGATGCCTGCCATCCGAATGAGGCATTTGCCTGACAGAATGCCAGCACATTTTTTGTTGTTGTTTAAGTCAAAACTGAATGATTAAATAGCTTTTTCCATCAAAGGGAAAATTCCATGGAAGGAAAAAGAGGGAAGCAAGTTCATGAGCTGGTGCTCAAGAAAACGACCTGTAGCAGCGCCTAAAACAATCTGTTGTCTTCTGTCATAACTGAGATTTTTAAAAACCCAGGCAGATTACAATAAAATATCAAAATAGCAATGGCTAACCCAGAAATAGGCACAGAAACATGCAAAAACCAATATCCTCAAAGTAAATATAGTTAAACTTTACTTAGGTATGTAGGAAGCTGCCATATACCAGATCAGACCCAAACAGGCCGAGCGCAAAAAGAGCTTTTAAGCTATTTAGCCAGCCTTGGAGGCTGGGATGTTCTCACTGCATCTTGTGGGGCTATCTGAGTCCCTGCAAGCATCTCTAGCCTTTCAGAACCAGTGCACTGAACAGGCCTTGCCCACCCAAGCAAGGGAGAGAGCTTGAAAGTTCTTACCATGCCAGGAAAACTCAGCGCAAAAGGAGCTTTTAAGCTTTCTGCTTTTCTTGCATCTACCTTGCAGAATTTCAACCAGCCGGCCTTCAACCGCATATGTTAAATGTGTGTAAGATGCAATAGTACTGTACAGTCTAAGAAAAGGAGGCGTTTAAAAGTAGCAGGATGGTGCACAATCACAGGGAAACAAGCAGAGAGTGTAAGGAGGAATGCACAGGGGCTGCAGACTACTCAGTGTGCACATGTGGTTCTACTTGAAAAGTCAGAGCAATCATGTAGTAGACTCTAGTTTCCCCTCACTGTATTGATATTCAAAATGCTCCCATGGTCCATGCGGAGAATGGCACATCTTAGAATGGCACATTTATTTTTAGCATGGAAAAGAGACATATTGGCGGATCAATTCAGCAGAGACATGCAACACAAATGGTCTTAAATAATACAGTAACAATCAAATGCTTTCCCTGGAGAGCGATACCTCAAATTTATCCCTGATGCTTATAACTTCTTTATGTTCTTGTTTTTTGTGGAGGTATCTTTACCCGGCTCTTCAGCAGACGAAAAGCCTCTTATAGAGGAGCTTAGAAATATGAACAAGACAATCCCTGCTCTCAGGCTCACAATATAAAATACATGACAGAAAAGGGAAGGACACTGGGAAGGATGAGGCATTAGTTCTCCATTACAGATTTTTTGCTAATAGGAATTCAAGAAGAGGAGGAGCCAAAACCTGCCAGTCTCTCAGCCCAGCCAATAGGTAGACCCAGCAGAACCATCTTTCATTCTGCTGTAGCTTGGTGGAGTGGCCATAGGCGCCGACTCCATGGGGCCTGAGGGGGCTCGAGCCCCCTCAAAAAAATTTTTGGGGGGGCTCAGCCCCCCCAATAATCTCGGGCGCCCTTCCAGCAGAGCGCCGCCGCCGTCCCCCACCTCCTCCCCACCTGCTCCCTCGCCAGCCAGCCAGCCAGCCACGCGCCCTAGTCGGAGAGCCCCGGCCGTCCCCCGCGAGATTAAGGAATCCCCGGGGGCGGGGGCTCCTGCCTCGCTGCTTCGCAGCACCACCGCCACTGCCAAGGCACTGCCGGGGGGAATTTCCTTCCTCCTGGCCCCCGGGAGAACAGGGGAATCCCGACTGGCCACACCTCCCAGCCAGCCGATTGGCTGGCTGGGGGGCGTGGCTTGCCCTATTTAGGGCCGGAGCCACTTTATTTGCATATTCATGAGCTTATTTATTATTCATGAGCTTTCCCGGGCCCCCCCAATATTTTTTATAAGTCCGCGTCCCTGGGAGTGGCTTCTGGTAGATGAATATTGAGGGAGGAACTGATACATAGGATGTTGTTTACATATGCATTTATTTAAAGCATTTTACCCTGCTATTTAGCTGTTAAAGAGCAGTTTACAAATATCAATCATAAGAAGAAGATAAAAATATTTATTTGTGTCAGCCACAAGCCATAGCAAAGGAATCAAATACAGTAGAATGCAAATATAGCTGGGTGGTTGGCTATACAAAATGTATCAATAATTTGAAGCCAGTGCCCTGTGAAAAAACCATATCAAAGCATATCATTCTTTCCCCAAGACCTGATGATGCTGTTGAAGACCTGCTTACCAGGACAGTTATGTTCTTTCTCTCCTGCTGCCCTGCTTGCCTCTCTTTGCCATCCTATGGGCACAAGCCCTGTCCCTCATCTCAGCAAGCCACCCTTTGCGCCTGGTATGGGTCAGGGCAGGGGGTGGCAATGAATAAAATTTCCTGTTTTCGTCCAAGGGTCAATTGCCAGCAGTGGGCGGAGCAATGAATATAAATTATACCTTTATATACAGTAAGTTTCCATGGTTTTCCCAGTAGTTATGTACGGAAGCGAGAGCTGGACCATAAAGAAGGCTGATCGCCGAAGAATTGATGCTTTTGAATTATGGTGCTGGAGAAGACTCTTTGAGAGTCCCATGGACTGCAAGAAGATCAAACCTATCCATTCTTAAGGAAATCAGCCCTGAGTGCTCACTGGAAGGACAGATCGTGAAGCTGAGGCTCCAATACTTTGGCCACCTCATGAGAAGAGAAGACTCCCTGGAAAAGACCCTGATGTTGGGAAAGATGGAGGGCACAAGGAGAAGGGAATGACAGAGGATGAGATGGTTGGATGGTGTTCTCGAAGCTACGAACATGAGTTTGACCAAACTGCGGGAGGCAGTGGAAGACGGGAGTGCCTGGCGTGCTCTGGTCCAGGGGGTCACAAAGAGTCGGACACGACTAAATGACTAAACAACAACAACATACTGTAAGTTAGCTTCTCTATACCTTCAATCATCCCTCTCTAACTTCCACCCAGGAAAGCAAGAGGCATGAGCAGAGTTCAAGGACCAGGGGTCCCAACTTGAATACTAATAATTTTAAAATATTTTTTAAATTTATATCATGCCCATTTGACTGGGTTGCCCCAGCCACTCTGGGCAGCTTCCAACACAAACAAAAGCATAAAGTAACATCAAACATTAGAAACTTCCTGAAAAATAATAATTGGGGGAGCGCCATGTAAGCCCCGCCCTGCATAGTCAATCACATGACATGGTGCACACATACCATTTGAACGGCAATGCCCGTCAACTTTGTGGGGGAGGCAGCCGCCTCAAATATTTCATTGGGGAGGCTGAAGGGACCTTGACCCCTAGGAGTTGACTCCTATATCAGGGACACATTTCAGCCAGCCAAAAAAGCTCAAGGATGTTAAGCAGGACAAGTGAGGGGTGTGACTTGGGGAGAGTTATGAGGACCACGAAAGAGAGGTTTGGAGGGCCACATCCAGCCCTCAGAGCCTGAGGTTCCCCACCACTGGATAGGGGCAGTGGGAAAGATGGTACATTTTGTGCCTGGTATGGTCGGATGGTGGTGTCTGGTAGACAAACAGCCTGGCCGTACCGCAGCTCACCCCCTCCTCCTAGCCAGGTGGCAAAGGGCCAAGGGACTATAGGGGGCCCTGCCTGGAGTAGAGCGGAGTAGTAACTTCTCAGCCTGCACCTGAGCTGTACATTCTCGCTAATCTCAGGGATGACACAAAAGTGCCCTTTGCAATGTTCCTGGCCTCATCTTACTAATGTAACATATCCCTGCCTGCCAATATTTTAAACTTTCAACAAGGAGACATTGACAATTCTATCTGCATAAGTGCTAATCCACTTCAGTGCCATTCATTTTTGGGAAGTAGCCGGTGGGGGTGGGAAAGGAGGAAATAATAAAGCGGTGATTTTGTTGCTGGTGTCAGTTGCTTCTTTCAACCAGCCTGCAATGATAAACATGCTTCATAATTTAAGTGACAGTCAAATGCCAGCCGAAGTCATTCTGCCTCTTGTTTTTAAATATTCTTTTGCATTTTTGCTTGTGATTTGATTTCTTCTGTTTGATATGGAAGTAAAATGTGTGGCATCCAAAAGATGCAGGCAAATGCTTTGAAGAGTCTCTGCTGTGACATCTAAGTAAAGAAAAGAGAATTTGCAATGCAAATTAACTGGCTTTTGCTATGCTTGGAAATAATCTATATACAGTGTTGCATCTTTGGATCAGCCCTGCAACTTTTTAAAGGGCTAAAGGCAGCTTCTCTCTTGAGGTGCCTATTATCATTTTAAAAAAAATACTATGAAGTTTCTAACAACACATACAGCATCACATCTAATTTTGACCCTTAAGCTGCAGAGCATAACCTTATGTGTGTTGAACCAAAATTAAAACCAGAAACGTAACTCAAAAGTGACTCAAGCTTTATCAGTACATCACTTTATGGTTCACTTTAAACTGAGCCAACCTGTTGAAAAGCCCAGCCCAATGTATCTTTAGGCACAAATGCAAGTTTCACCTTTCCCTTTCTCTCATAGGCTTCTCTGACAGCAAAACCATACAGATTTAATCTATTCAAAAGCACGTGAGCAATGAATTTGAAATCTACTTTCATCGGGTGACAGCCTCAGTTTGAATTGTTTCCAGTCTCTAGATATTTGAGCTTCCTTGTTTAAAAAACATGTGAGGAGTTCTATTCTTAGCGACACTTGCCTGTTCCAAAGATGTCAACAATGGTCTAATGACTTCCTGGGCAGGCCACACATCCCAGGCCAAGGCCAATTACTGGAACATACCCTCCAACATTTCTCCGTTGAAAATAGGGACGTCCCATTCCATAATGATAACTTTTCTATTTATACCCCACACATCCTACTGGGTTGCCCCAGCCACTCTGGGCAGCTTCTAACATATATAAAAACATAATAAAACATTTTAAAACTTCCCTATACAGGGAGGGGTTAGATAACTCCATACCCTCCAACATTTCTCCAATTAAAATAGGAACACCCTACCATACCATCCAACATTTCTCCAATGAAAATAGAGGCATCCTAAGGAAAAGTGGGACATTCCAGGATCAAATCAGAAACTGGGATGGCTCCTCTAAATCAGGGACCTCCCTGGAAAATAGGGGCACTTGGAGGATCTGCTGGAAGGAGGAGCGGCATTGTTTGGCTTGAGCGTGATGCAGCTCAGGCAGGCAGCTTGCCAACATCTGTAGCCTAAACAGAGCAGAGCAAGTTGCAAGCAGCGAACAGAGAAGGGAACAGAGGAGCATTCTGCTCATGGCTTCCGAAGCAAAGCAAAACTGCAAGTATGTCACATTTCCAAAAGTTTTTGGGTCTCATCTATCTATCTTGGGAGACAATTGAAGAATGTGCCTTCAGGGGTGAAGTCAAACCATTGGAGAGTTACAGTGCCCGTTGTGGCTGTAGAGACTGATATGGGAGAGACATGTTTTCTTTGCTTTCCAAAAGTAATAAAATAAAATAAAATATTGGGATAAATTTGGCCATTTGACAAAAAATGTTGTCACAAGTAGAGATTTGCTTCAGGATGTCCGATCCTTACAAAAGCTGCTGAATGGTTTTAGGATTAAGTGTTGATTTATGACCTTTCCCCAGAAAACCGACTGTCCCTGCCCAAATAAATCCTACTGATAGTTGTATCATAAAACGTTATTCATCCCCTTTCCGCTGCTTTTTGCCTGCCTCTGAAATACATTGAAATGCCTACTGTGAAACTTGTAAATGCATCAAGAAACAAAGCAGCAGGTCTAAAATAAGAAATCTCATAAATTATTGTGGAGCTGGTTCTGCTCCCTCCAGCTAAATCAACGATTGCACTTTAGCTGTACTTGGCTCTTGGTGAAAGAAAACAAGCATTCAACATCTCCATATGAGGTCACACATCCCATGGATCAAAATGCAACTTTAGCTGGACTGGTCCATAAGCTATAGCACCCCTCCTCTGTTACAGTATGAGATTCCTGTATGTACCTAGGGATCACTAGATCTCAGCCAATGGCTTTTTACTCAGGGGGTGTTCATACTAATGCCACCTCCACATCCAGTGCTAGTTTTTGAAACTACAGTCACATGTTAGCCGCAATCCATATTCATCCTGTATTGCTGTTTGATGCATTCCCCCCCCCAAACCAACTTCAGTCCGACCAGAAAACTGGATGCGGATAAGCAGTAATGTGGGCATAACTAACAGCCACCATACATGGGCAAATGAGAACACACGCACAGATAACAGCTTCATGAAGAGTTTGTGGTGGGGAGGGGGAACCAAAACATCATGCGCATTGGGTGGAAACTTCCTCACCTTCTTTCTGATGTGAACAACAGTGTGCAAATGCAGCTTGAAAGGCTAATGTGTACATATCCTAATAATCTCTGGAGCAGATTTCAGATTTCATGGGGGAGTCTGCAACGGGGCAAAAGGAATAACCACAAACTGTCACCTTCCTCATTTTCCTGATGGACGTTGAACATCATCCTAAGATTCCATAAATATCCTGAAATGTAATTATTAAATGAAAAATAGAAAAGATTGACAGAGTGGCTGGGGAAACTCAGCCAGATGGGCAGGGTATAAATAATAAATTTATTATTATTATTATTATTATTATTATTATTATTATTATTATTATTGACAGGGTCTATTGGCTTGACATGATACAAGCTTGCTCTGGAGCATCTGTTACGTCACACTCAGAGAAAGGATCCTGTGGCTGATTAACCCATGTTTCTACTTCTCCTGGCAATGAATTGATTGTTTCCTTAGTACAGGGATGTCCAACAGATCGATCGCGATCTACTGGTAGATCCCCATGAGATTTTGGTAGATCTCTGGCTCCCTTTCCTTAGCATCGCTAAAACTGACTCCTGGCCTGCACCCTCGCCCTACCCTCCATTGTGTATGATCTCTGGAAGACAGAGCTTTCTCTGTGCTGCTGTTTTGATCCATAACGATCTTTTTGTAAGTGACTTTACCCCTTATTCCCATGCCTTTAACCCCCCCCCAAAAAAGAACCTCCCCAAAAGCTTATTTTTAACCTCTAAAAAAGTGGGGCTCTGCTCCTCCCTAAAAAAAGCTCAGAAACTTTAGCTGAACCCCCCCCCCAAAAAAAAACAGGGGTAGATCACTGCCAGTTTATAATTCTGAAAGTAGATCGCAGTCTCTTGAGAGATGGCCACCCCTGCCTTAGTAGAATGACTGCTTCAATTCTCCACTGGGAAAATGCAAAGCGTTATGTCAGAGGATTTTGGGAATATTATTTCTTATGTGGTGGTTCTTGCTGCAGCAGAAGCCATATAAGAAAACAGTTGTGTGTAGCTTGGAATGACTAATTATTCAAAGGCGATCTTGTTCTTTATAGGTGGAAAGCTGATCCAGCTACTGTGCCACGTTGATGGAGGTTCTCCCTATGATCTGAATTATTTCATAGAGAAGGTATTCAGACTATGTTACCAGTAGAGAACTCTGCCTTATTAGGCTGAGATAGGCTTCTCAGAGAGGCTACATTTTTCCACATTCCAAGAAAGATTGTGGATAATCCTTAAGCAGCCAAAAATTACCTTTTATGCAAAGCTAAGCTATAAAATGCACATTTAAAAAAAAAAAAATCCAAATGACATAACCTATTAAGAGAAATGTATCACAACATTGCACAGATGTCAGAGTGGCGACTGTGAGATTTTTGCCTTGCTCTGGCATGTGTGACACAACATGCTTCTTTAAACCATCTGGTTGTAGCTTTCTAAAATTATCCCATGGCCTGGTGCAGTGTTAACTGAGTTAAACTGCTGAGTGGTGTGTCAGCCTTGGCCCGTGTTTCCTTATAGTACTGTGTGGTGAATGTTGACATTTACCAGTAATTCTGAATAATTTCAGAGGTCAATGTCAGAACTCTATGGAACATTATAGTGCAATCATGGGGATCCTTTGGCCCTCCAGGTGTTCCTGAACTACAACTCCCATCAGGGGTGGTGGGAACTGTAGTTCAACAACATCTAGAGGGTGTGAAGTTTCCTATATATATTTGCTCGAGTGAAGATCGAGGCTGACTAAGTGGCTACAGTAAATGTTCAAAAATTATTCACATTTCCCTCATTGACTGCGAATTGGCATTTACTGTGCCATGAACAATAATAATAATAATAATAATAATTTATTATTTATACCCTACCCATCTGGCTGAGTTTCCCCAGCCACTTTGGGCGGCTCCCAATTGAGTGTTCAAAACAATACAGCAAGTAAATACCAAAACTGAGCTCCATGACACAAACATGTCTGATATTTTCTGCTGGCTTTTCTATCAATTTAAGAATTGCCAATGAAATGTTTGGCAGTAAAAGTCACCGAATTCTGGATATTTACTGTAACTCACAAGCACGATCAGACATGGCAATCTGAGGCAGTTGAAACAGAAAGTGTTAAAGAAAGGTTCAGACTGCATGGGGAGGCAAACTAAGGCCCGGGGGCCAGATCTGGCCCAATCGCCTTCTAAATCCAGCCAGCGGATGGTCCAGGAATCAGTGTGTTTTTACATGAGTAGAATGTGCCCTTTTATTTAAAATGCATCTCTGGGTTATTTGTGGGGCATAGGAATTCGTTCATTCCCCCCTCCCCAAAATATAGTCTGGCCCCCCACAAGGTCTGAGGGACAGTGGACCGGCCCCCTGCTGAAAAAGTTTGCTGACCCCTGGTTCAGAGTAATGACAGTGAGATGAGAAAGGGGAAGGCCACAATTCAGTAGCAGGGCACATCCTTCACAGGCAGGAGGTCCCACGCTCAATTCCTGGCATTTCCATATAAGGCTGAGAAAGAGCTCTGCCTGACACTTTCTAAGTACCCCACACAGAGGTACTTCCTTTGTTACCTTAATGGTCCATACTTAGAAGGCCATTATCTCACCAGGAAGCTAGCCTGGCTATTATAGGAATTGAACCCCTACTGGATCCAGGGATTAGAAGGGAGCTCATACACACAGCCTACCTCCCCGCAACTCATAACAATACTTTTCATGGTAATAAATAGGGACCATTGGAGTGCATGGGTAAGCTCAGTACAACTTTCTTCAGAGACTAATAATCAAACCTCATAGCTTTGTATTTTGTTCCTAGAAAAACAAGCTGCACAGGGCAGAATGGTATTGAATGTTATAATATGGAGCCCCATCAATGGATTAATATTGGGCATTTGCACCAACTGTACAGTATACCTGACTACCTAGAAGGCCTCGCCCAGCCCTCCTAGAAGACTCATACATCAATATTTTAATTGCATGGTATATAGCTCTTCGAAGAAGAGCATAAAACAGCAAATAGACCTCTATTCATTTTCCTGTGTTTTCATTTTTAGCACATGCATTTCTGGGCAGCTCTGACTAATAATAGCTTACATTTCTTTAGGGTTCTATTTCCTCCACAACACTTATTGCTTCTTTTGAGTCTTCCATAAGCAGATATTTCCAAGAATGCATACACACACAAAACCCTCCCAAACCGGCTGCAACTTTTAAGCTTATTTTCCATATATTTATAGCTTTTACTTTAAAAGTCCCCTCCTTAAAGAACATTCCATAATTTCTCCTTCACTAAGCTTTTTACCAAACTGCAAAAAGTCACACCCATCATCACTTCCTCCAGTAGATGCCAAAGAGAAAACACAATCTCTTTTTTCCTCTCTCTTATTCTAACTTAACTGTTTCTTTGTGCTCTTCCAACTCATTTAACACTTTCCATGTGCACCATTATTCCTTTCAGAAAGCACAGGTCTGGCTCTCAAGTTCTGACTTTTGCCCTACTAGGAGGGAGTTTCTTTTAATTTGAAAGCGTTGTTAAAATCTTGCTACCATTTCCACATTATAACACAAGCCCATGAGTTCAGTGGTGCCATCAGGGTAGGATAAGTCCAGGGTCATTAGGCATGTGTGGAGCAAGGCAGTTTTTCAAGTAAACTGGTTCCAAGCTGTTGAGGGCGTTATATATTAATAGGAAACCTTAAATTTGGCTTGGTAACAAACTGGCAGCTAGCTCAGACCTTTGAGCAGAGGTGTAATATGCTGATAGGATCTCACTCCAGTCAGTAATCATCAGGGCCAGCCCAATACATTTTGGCGGCTGAGGCAGACCCCAAAATGATGCTCCCCTCCCTGGGGAATATGGGCTGAGGGAAGATCTACATCAGGAACAAGGGGGGTGGGGAGAGAGACTGACATCAGGATCTACCGCTCTGGAGAATCCTGCCGCCTGAAGCAGTCACCTCACCTTGTCTCAAGGGTGGGCCGGCCTTGGCAATCATCCTGCAGCATTCTGCACTAACTGCAGTTTCCAGACCAGTCACAAGAAATGTCCCATATAGATTGCATTGCAGTAATCCAACCCTGAAGTTACCAGTGACTGGATTACTGTGGTCTAGCTAGGCTGGCCCAGGAATGGTCACAGTTGTTGCAACAGCTGAAGCTGATAAAAATTGCATTTGTGTAATTAATATCACATCTAGTTTGGCTCTCGGGCCATTAAGAAGAAGGTTTCGGTAGAGAATCAAGAAAAGGACAGAATCCTGAAAAGAACTTTATAAACCTAGACTGTGGACCCTGCTCAGCTGGTACAATTCAGAACCACACTCTCAGCATCTGTTGTGGTGATGGTGAATAAGAACAGAAAGCTAGCAACTTCCTCTTCTTGGCGGGACAGAAATAGGGATGGGGAGAGAAATTCAGTTCCATTTGCATTTAAAGGTGAGGCAAACCAATACGCAAACATTTGCAAAAATGTGTTTTTTAGGCAAAACTGCACTTAGACACATGTATATTGGGAGAAATTTGCACTAAAATGCTGAATAAATTACAAACTGGTGTGGAAAACTGAACTTAATATTGGGAAAAATGAGAAACTGAGAGCCATCGGAAGTAACAGTCACCCACTGGTATCAGCAACTGAGGGTAGGTGAAGAAGGGAGTGTGTTCATTCTTCAGCACTGAGGATCAAGCTGGAAATATCATAAACTGGTGAGCTATGCTATGTATTCTGAGCTAAAAAGAAAGAAATTAAAATTCATCAACATGATAACCCAAGTTTTGTGCCAAGAAAAAGCAAATAACCTGTAAAGACTCTTCAAATTAGCATAATTTTTCTCATTTGTGTTGCATCTTCTACCATTTTGCATAATGTATTCTGTATAATGTATTTATAAAGAACTGGGAAGTACAAGAGGCTATGCAGCACAGTGAAGAGGCACCCTTGATCCTTAGAAATCTTGTTCAGCCCTCTCAATGGCTTCACTAGACAGTGTTCATAATGCAGGCCTGCCCAAGCCAGCCTGCCTCTTTAAGATTGCCAAGGCTCTCTAGCCCGCCATCACTTACAAGCAGAGAACTCATGTATCCTTTCAATAGACTAAATACAAAATGGGTTCCATCGATCAGGGGAAGGGAAAAATATACCATCTCCCAACCTGGGGGGTTCTCCAGCTGATACGACTGGTGATCCTGTTGAAGCCCTAGACGACCTCTGGGACATCCAAATGGCTCGGGCTGTTGACACAATCATCCCTGAGCACCCTCTCCCACTTTGTGGAGCTTGCTTGCCTCCCCTTGGGCCTCTTGTCTTTTGAAGTCTTATTAAAAGTATTAAACTTGGCTGTTAGGGTCCTTGTGTGCATTTCTACCAGACTCAGAGGGTTATTTTACCCCTTTGCAAGCTTAGTCTTCCTGATGCAGGTGCATATAACTGGGATTCGTCAGAGAAAAGCAAGCTACTTTGGGTTCTGGTGAGAGACAAGCTCAGTGCTCTCTGTACTTCCCCTCATAAATATTTGCCTTGCACCCCCAGGTTTCACTTCTGCATGGGGTTAGAGGGAACATAAGGGAAGTGTAGGGGCTGTCTACCAGAGAGTCCCTTGCTTGACTGGCCTACCCAGACTCACAGTCATGGCAGGAGTGAAGCAAGAGTTCCCCTTACATTATAGTGCCCGCATTCTTAAGTTTAAATGACACTTTTGCATCTATAAGGACTAGAAACGTCTAAATAAATACAGAATTCTTAGGAAGATGACTTTTGTGAACAATGCCGAATTCTGTGGCTACCAAACAACAACAACAACCCATACAAAACAGGCAGAACAGCAGAGAATTCTTCCTAGAGGTGGTGCACATCCAGCCAAAGTGGCTGGTCGTTTTCTTTATTGACAAAGCATGAACTTGCAGGAGCTCCCAAGGTGCACAAACATGTTTCTGGTGGCTAGGTAGCTCTTACACAGAAGTTGTTGCTGTGCTTGCCTCTTCAGCCCTGCCCCCCGGTCCTGGGGGACAGTGGGGTGGTGGTAAAGGGGATTCTGCCAGCCCCCTCCCTTCAAGCACTGTCCCTCCCTCAGCTCCTGGCACATCCTGTCCTTCCTCCAGCTTCAGCTTCTGTCCTACGTCCTGTACCTCCTTCCCCGTCTCCGACTGCTCAGATCCATTCTCCAGCTCTGGCTCCTGCCTCGTGGGAGGCACAAAACCCAATAAAGCGCTACTCCATTCCCTTAGATCAACCTCTGACTCCAATCAGCGGTGGAGGAAGCCACTTGGGCGCCAGGGGTGCCCCACCCATAGGGGCCTCTGGAGTCTGCCTGCCTCCTCCCACTCAGCTGCCCTATAGCTGGGGTGGGGAGGCAGCAGGCGGACTGTTTGGGCAGGGCGGAGACATGTGGCTCAGGTGCACTGCAGGCCCTGCAGTGAGTACCACCCGGCATTTAGTGTCCCCCCCCAGTGGTGACACCCAGGGAGGCCCGCACCTACCGCACCCCCCTTCCTCCACTGCTGGCTCCAGTAGCTCTTCCACTCACTCCTCAGAGCCCTGGCAGTCCCTGACAGATGGAAATACCACAAGACCTCAAATCTTCATGCCTGTGGTTGATTCCAGACAACCAGTTTAATGAGCATTCATTCTGATTTTTTTGCAGGGAGGTTAGATGACATTTTCCCATCACTTTCCCTGTTACAAAGAGTGCTATCTATAGGGGAAGAGAGGTTTTTTTTAAAACAAGCAGATTTAATTGCGTGGCCTGAATTTGCTGGGATGTGATTGAATCCCATCCCCAAATAGTGACAGTCTGGAAATGCCCTAGGAGCCATTAAAAGAAGAAAGAAAGAGCAGGGAGATAACATTTTCATCATTGTCTGTAATGGTTTAAATGGAAATGGAAATTCAAAGTGCTGGTTTTGACCTATAACACTCAGGACCCCAATACCTCTCCCCATATGAACCAATCTGGACCCTGCAGTCATCAAATGAGCAGTGGCGTCACAATGGGAGGCGGGGTGGTGGTGCACCCCGGGTTCCATGTCTACAGGGGTGACAAAAAGTCACCCCACGGGGGCTCGCGGCGGCGCAAGCAGCCATCGCGCCACTGCAGCCGCGAGCAGAGGATCCCGGCGCCGGCGGCAAACTGATAAGTACAGTGCAGGTGCGGCGTCGCACGCATGCACTGTACATAGCGACGCTGCACATGCACTGTATAGTGGTTTGCCGCCGGCACCGCTCCAGCGCTATACAGATGGTGCTGGGATCCCTCTGTCATCACCACAGCCACGGAGGATCCTCTGTTCGCAGCTGCAGCCACAAGCAGAGGATCCTGACACGCTGGAGCGGCACCAGTGGCTATACAGCACATGTGTGGCGTCATTACGTACGGTGCATGCGTCGTACGTAGCAATGCCACACATGCGCCTTACGTAACAACACTCGCCCCGGGTATCACAATGCCTTCCTTCGCCCCTGCATATGAGGCCCTTCTCTGTGTAACCCTTCTATGGGAGATCTGTAGGGTGGCAACAGAAGAACGTGCCTTTTCAGTGGTGGCTCCCTGCTTGTGGAATGCTTTCCCCAGGAAGCCTCACCTAGTGCCATCATTACATATCTTTAGGCTCCAGCGAAAAAATTTCTTTTCCACCAGGCCTTTGGCTTTTAATTACCTGTGGCCTCCTACAGTAAGTGGGATCTTCTAGTCCTGCCCTTAAAAATATAAAAGAGTTTTAGGTTTCTCCCACCCTGTTTTGTTTTGTGCTGGTTTTAATGTATGTGTTATTTATTGATTGTTTTAAGCTGCTCCAAATTACCTTTTTAAGGGGGCACTAATAAGTTTACTAAATAAATAAGAACGATAAATAATTGCTACATGTAATTTTAGTAAAGAAACATTAGGCAGCAAAAGCAAGGGCAGCGTTAGCTATACAGTGCATTGACTGTATGTTCATTCTGTCAGTCACAAGAGATGGCTGAAGTTCTGTCAGTGCCTTCTGTTCCAAGCAGAAGAGATGGCATTCTCCAGT